CCAAAAGAACCAACAGATCTGTGTTGGAAGAAGTGCAGCCAGAGTGCTCCTTGGAGGCCAGGATGGCCAAACTTCGTCTCTCATACTTTGCACATATTGTCAGGATGGACCAGTCACTGGAGAAGGATATCATGTTTGGTAAGGTGGCAGATCAGAGAAAAAGAGGAAGACCCCAGTGAGGTGGATTGGCAAAGTGGCAGCATCAATGGGCTCAAACGTAGAAATGATTGTGAGGTTGGTCCAGGACCAGACAGTGCACAGGGTCGCTATGAGTCGGAACTGACTCGATGGCATCTAACAACAACAAATAGTAGAATTGGCAAAAGTTGCATAATATATATTTTACAATAACCAGAAGGGCATATTCTAAAGCTGCTTATGTATAACCAAACACTTTGTAGGATTTGGTTCCTTTGTTTGGAGGTTTAGGGTCATGGTTTCATGGGATATCCCAGTTAATTAGCCTCATAACATGTTTAGTGTTTCTGTTCTGCCTCCTAGGATTTGAAAAGCTTGCAAGTAGCCACTAAAGGTACAACAATTGGTTTTTATTCACTTGCAGCAATTGAAAAGTCAGGAATAAAAGGCTATGAAATGTGTGTCTAATTGCCTCTTTGAAGTGCCTCCTTTGCCATGAGTCCAGAAGACTAAGATGGGGCCTGCTACTAAACTGAACATTTCTATTCAAGACTCTATAGAAGAATCCTGACCAAAAGGGGGGCAATGCTGAACAGAATTTAAGATTCTCATTGATAGAATCCAGAATTTCTGGAGCCACAGGGTTGGATGAACTGCAGAGACAATCTTTAAACTTTAAACTAAAAGTATCTCCTGGCGTCTCCTTAAAACTAAACAACAGTTTAGCTTAACTAGTTAAAAAAAAACAAAAACCAATTGTTTACCTTGAGCATTATGCCCTTTTAACAGCTATCTATATGAAATCAAATAACCTACAGTAACTCAACAGGTCAGATGGGATGAGCTTATGTTAATGGAGGGGGGACCAGCTCTGAACAGGAGGGTGAAAATGTTGCAAAACTCAAAGAATGTCATTGATGTCACTGAGCCGTACAAGCCGAAACTGCTGAATTCGTATATATTCTGCTACATATGAAGGGACTTTACAAAGTTCATGGAAAAATGGCATGAAAAGACACTAGATTTTTTTTCCCATCAACTTTTTGAAGCCCTCTCAACAACAACAAAATGTATTTCTGAAGAAATCATTTGGGAAAGGTAAATGTGGACGGTGGTAGTTCTCCCAATGACTTACTTGGTAAGAAAAGTAGAAGAGAATCCAAAAAACCAGGGATCACCAAACAAGAAGGCAAACAAGGTACTGTCAACCCAAAGGCTGGATGGAGAATGAGACAGGGAAGAGGTGCCGGTAATGATCAGTGATTTTCCCCAACCCTGACCAGGGTAGGGGTCGCTGGTACTTTCATTCACACAAAGACGCCTTGCAATTTGAGCCCCCATCCACAGCTGGCGATAAATAATAAACCGACATTTGTGGAAGGCAGGCTGAACACAAAGCCCCAGGCAAACAGCTGGGATATCAGAAGCAGTCATGGGAGTAGAGGCTGTGCCAAAAAGCTCACAGAACACACAGGAGCAAGGAAGGAAAACAGCCTGCAGCTGGGGCCATGCGTTCACAGAGGGCGCCACTGAGCAGTCTTCACCGCTGCCTGGGAGAGCTCATTGAGCAAGTTAAAATACCTATTGTCAGTAGACCGCCTCTGTGGTCTCTCTCCCGCTCTGTCATTTTTAACCAGATATTTAGTGGTTTGGGTCAACAGCCAGGACAGCTGATATCACAAGTCAAATTCATGTGCAAGAAACACCAAGTTCTGCTCACGTGAAGGTTCCCAATCTAACATCCCCCCTGCTACGTTGCTACTCCAAGACACTCACTCACATCTTCGAGGCTCTGAATTTCAACAGGACCACGCGGAGGTCATTCATAAACGTGCTGACTTAAACTAGCTAACATCCTCATAAGGAGCCATGGTGGTGCCGTGGTTAAGCACTTGGCTGCTAGATAAAAGGTAAATGGTTCAAACCCATCAGCGGTTCCTCAGGAAAAAGATGTGGTGGTCTGCTTTCATAAAGATCTATGGCCTTGGAAACGGCATGGGACTGTCCCATAGGGTTTCTATGCATTGGATTTGGGGGTTGGGGGGTTTAGTGTCCTCACAAGAGCCCTCCGATGGAAGCAGCAGAGGTTGTTGTTAGGTATCGTTGAGTCCCAGCTGTTGAGTGGCCCCATGAGCAACCGACGCCATCCTCACCATCTTGCTCTGCTTAAGCCCATGTTATAGTCACTGTATCCAGCCAGCTCGTTGAAGTTCTTTGTAGGATTTGGTTCCTTTGTTTGGAGATTTAGGGTCATGGTTTCATGGGCTATCCCAGTTAATTAGCCTCATAACATGTTTAGTGTTTCTGTTCTGCATCCTAGGATTTGAAAAGCTTGCAAGTAGCCACTAAAGGTACTGGTCCCTCCTGATGACATGTCCAAAGTACAAGAGACGAAGCCTCACCATTCTCACTTCCAAGGAGCATTCTGGCTGCACTTCTTCTGAGATAGCTTTGTTCCTTCTTCTGGCAGTCCAGGGCACAGTCAGCATTCTTCACAAACACCGTAGTTCAAATGCAGCAGCCGTAGCGACAAGGAAATGCAAAACCACATTGCCACTAATCAACACAGGTGTGACAAGTGCACCTGCATCTGCACTGGGGCTCTGCTTCCTATACCCATCCCACCCGCATTTGTCTACAGATGGCAAGTTAGGACAAAAATATCAATGAGAAGCAAAGCAGACAGGTTACATTCCACGGGAGCAGAGCCTCCACAACGCCCAGTCACTATTTCTTGTATCCTGGCTGCAGCTCCAGCTGATGCAGAATAAAAGTAAGAATTCGTGTTTCCTCCTTCCATGGCACTCATCTACTTATTTTTGTGGTGAAAAGATTTCCCAACCAAAAGGGGTTTATCTGTCAGCAGCTCTCTGAGGAAGATTTCAGACCAAGATCCCTGGACAAGGCAGTTTGCAACTGATTGGAGGAAGCATGGCTGGAATTCTCCTTGGAAGCGAGAAGAGAAACTTCATCTCTGATACTTTGGGCATAGTTTCAGGAGGGGTCAGTCCCTGGAGAAAGGCATCATGGGCTCAAAAATGGCAACAATCTGTTGTGTACAGGGTCACATGAGTCTGAACCAACCCGATGGCACCTAATAACAACAGTACTAACCTAAAGGTTGGTGATTCAAACCCACCCAGCAGCACTGTGGAAGAAAGGCCTAGTGATGTGCGTCTATAAAGATTACAGCCGAGAAAACCACTTGGGGCAGTTCTACTCTGCAGCAAGCAGGGTCCCCATGAGTTGGAAATGACTCAACATCAAAACGATCTTTTGGCTTCTCTCTCCCTCTCCCCCCACCAGGGCCCGGCCACCAACCTGCTCCGTCTCCACGAAGTTGGACACCTGACCATCGTCATTGATACCGCGAGTGTGGAAGCGTGCGCCAGCCCGCTCGCAGCTGATGCGGGAGATGAGGCAGGCCTTGGCCTGCTTGTGCGAGGCGTACACGGTGCGGATGGCCACCACCCCACAGATCACCTTCAGCAGCCAGTCGGAGCAGCTCACCTGGTGGTGTTTCAGGGGCACGTGTAACAGCTGATTCCTGCAAAATGGGTTTGTGAACGTGGCACCCTGCTGGGGAGGTGACAGAGCGCAGGTCTCCCAGGCATTCAGAGCCTGCAGCAGTGAGAGAAGGGACCCTTCCCTGGTAAGTCAGATGCCATCAGGCCGACTCTGACTCATGGTGACCCCCTGTGTGTGCTCCAGGGGGGCTGTCAGGGGCTGACTTCTCAGAAGGAGATTGCCAGACCTTTCTTTCAAGGTACCTGGAACCTCCAACGTTTCAGTTAGCAGCCGAATGTACTCACTGTTTGACTCCTTACCCAACTCTTTGTTACAAGGTTGGATGCAAAGCCAAGAGTGGGACTTCAGGGGAATTTCAAAGACTCTGTTAATACTGTGACACCCACAGTTTTTTATAGTATGCTCCATCAGTTTGAATGCAATCACATATCCAGTATACGTGTGCTTATTTAAATTACTTACAAGCACTATGATGGGAATATAACTAGAGTGTTATTATTCTTGTTAAGTGCCGTCGAGTAGGTTCCAACCTATAGTGACCCTGTATAGGGTTTCCAAGGAGCAGCTGGTGAGCTTGAACTGCCAACCTTGCAGTTCAAACGACTTTGCAGTCTGGTATATTAACCCACAGCTCCACACCAAGACTCCAATGAGAGCATTGCAAAATATAATAAAACAGACATAAAACAGTAATACTGATAAAAACAAAATACAGATAGATGAATGGAATGCACTTCAGCCTCAGAATGGCCCGATGGGAAAGGTGTGGATGCTAAACACATTTGACAGGTATTGAGACTAAGGCACAGGGTCATAGAGTAGAGCGCCAATTCTGGAGGTCTGACTCTGCAGTCACGGTCCTTCAACCTAACATGGCCAGCACATTGCCCTGAGGGGTCATCCTCTCCTCTCCCTCAACCCCTGACTCCCACTCCCGTTAGTGAGCAGAGAAGGGGCTGTTCTAAGAAGGGAGGCTCAGTGGAGGTGCACAAACCTCCATGTCCCCACGACACCCTGGCTGCATCTACCTCCATGTAGCCTGCTGGGGGGGCCAAGCCAGGACCTTGAGACTGCTCCTTGGGCAGCACCTGAGCCTCTCTCTAACAGAACAGCAAACAAATCAAGATCACAGGCCCTATAGTACGGTCCCTGCCCTCAAAGATCCAGATTTTCTTCCTGCTGGACACTTCCCCTTGCATTGGCCTCCCCAACTCTGCCCCAGGCTCAGAAACATCCTCCATTCCACACACACCCCACCCTAGGCCAGACCCACAGCTCAACTCTCCCTACAACAAGGATCGCCTTACAGAACATTCCCTTTTACTGACTCATACTCAGACTCTAATGCTGAACGTGGCATCAAAGCAAGGCTTCCAGAATATTCCAGAGTGTACTAGCCAGGCAACAAGACCGCCATCCCCAGGCATCGGGACAGGGACGACCCCAGTAGATCCTGTTCTGTTGAGTCACACACCATCAACTCATATCCGAAGTGGAACGGACAGGCATCTATAAAGGATAGCGGAGGAAAGGTACGGTTCCCCCGGGGAAGCACTGTTGTTAGAAACTACCAGTGTCCTGGGAGGATGACCGTTACTGCACACTGTGCCTCAGTTTGGACCCCACCTGACCCGACAAGGGCCTGTCAGGCTCAGACCTTGCCCACAATACAGTGGGTTTAGCCGTCCAGCTGGCCGAGACTCACTGTGGTCAGTTCTGCAGGCTCAGCCCACACAGCTCACTCACAGTGTGCTCCCAGCAGTTGGACCTCTCCCTACCTCAGGACCAGACTGACGTCCACTTCAAAGTCAGCGCCAAGAGCCTTCACTCACCTCAACCCCACAGCTGCCTCAGGAGACCAGAGAAGAGCAGCGACCAAGAGGCTGGGGACCAGTTCCGATGTTGCCCTGGGACTCTGACTATGCCAAGGTTTCTGACCTCAGCTCACAGACCCTGCAGGGGTAGTTTCTCCAAACCTAGGCAGGCAGAGGGAGGGAGCCCCACAAACACTACCCCAGAACCTGTCACTCAGAGAGGAGAGGTCTGCAGTGGGAAGAGCAGAAACCAGGCCCAGCCCAGAGCTACCGAATCCTAGCCTGAAGCCCACTACAGATTGCAGGAGATGCCTTCAGCTTTAAGGTTTGAGCACACTAACCAAGCCCAACCAGCCCCAACTCATGGCGCCCCCATGTGTGTCAAGAGTGGAACTGTGCTCCCGAGGGGTTTCAATGGCTGATTCCCCACGCCTCCCCCAGAAGTAGTTTGCCAGGCCTTTCTTCTGAGATACCTCTGGGTGGATTCTAACCTCCAACCTTTCATTTCGTAGCCTGGTACAAAAACTCAACCAAACAAGAGTCCTGAGGAGGTTGTGCGGTTGGGCAACACAAGAGGAGACATGTCCCGTTTTCCCCAAACAGAAGCTAGGAATTCACCATGGGGCATCTGATGATGCGCTGGGCAAAGGGAGGACCGGCAATGGACTGGGCCCGAGTCAGCCTCACAGCCCCGTCTCAAGCTGCGGAAGGTGAGGAAGACTCTGGCCAGGAGGGACTGGGGGTTGCGTCACATCTGCTTGTCGCTCTTACACTCACTTCCTGGTGCATGGGAGGAGACGGCACCACTGGGAGCCCCCACCCACAAAGCCAACAAGTGCCTGGACGTGTTTGCAGACCTAGCCTTCTCTCAGCTGAAAACCAACCAACCCATTGCCACTGAGGGAATTCCCACTCACAGAAGACAGCCTCATCTTTCTCCCTCAGAACAGTTGATGGGTTTGAACTGCCAACCTGGCAGTGAGCAGTCCAGCGCTTAACCCGCAGCACTACCAGAGCTTCTTTGCTCTCTGCTACTCTCCTCAAATGAAGTAGCAGAGGAGCAGCCCTGAAGGCTGACACACAACAACCCAACAACTCTGAGAGGCTGTGAGGCAGGTGCATCATGTTATACTGTTTCCCCATTTATGAAGCTGGTATGGCTTTGTGTTCTGGTGTGGTGCCACAGGATAAGCACTAGAACCACAAGGTCAGTGGTTCAAACTTGGAAACCCTATACGGGGGTCATTAAGTGCAGAACCAACTTGACTGCACTTAACAACAACGACAACAACACTGACTTTATGACGAATCCCTGATGGTATGGTGGTTAATTACGCTCTCAGCTGCTAAGTGAAAGGTTGGTTTGAACCCACCAGCTGCTCCAAGGGAGGAAGACATGGCCATCTGCTTCTGGAAGAATAGCCCGCTGGGGCAGTTCTACACAGAGTAATCAGGGGTGAGGGTGAAGGTGGGGTGGGTGAGCTGGTCTGTGTGGTGGGGCCAGACTGGGGCAGTGGACCAGATCTCACCAAAAGAATGCATTGGCACACTCGTAGTGGTCATTGTCCTGCTTCTGTGTCCGGATGGTCAGGTCGAAGTGGGAGCCGTCGTTGGGCCACGAGAAGTAGAACACACCTGAGTTGAGGATTTTCTTCAAAGCCAAGAGCCGATCCTCTTCTTTGGCATCTTCCTGAAGTGGGTGAAAATCAGTGGCCGTGATTTTGTAGATTTCGGCCTCGGGAATTCTGCCAACAGAGGTACAACCTGTCACCAGAACCAGGAAGCTCAAGAAGGTTCCACCTGGAAGGAAGATCAGACAAGAAAGCTTAGCGTCAGGACCGGCATGCACGCTGCAAGACGCTACACTAAACAACACCAGGAGCCATGCAGTTTGTCCCACGAGCATCAGAGGAGGAGACTCCATTGGGTTTTCAAAGGCTGATTTTCCAGACGGATATTGCTAGGCCGTTCTGCCATGGTGCCTCTGGGTGGATCCAAATCTTCAATCATCTGCTTAGCAGCTGAGTCTGTTAACCACATAACCCAGGGAATCCCAAGATAGAAATACCCAACCCATTGCAGCCAAGTCAATTCTGACGCATAACGACCCCATGGGTACCAGAGTACAACTGGGCTCCACATGGATTTCTTGGCTGTCATCTTTACAGGGAGTTCTGGTGTGGCACTGGACCACAAGGTCACCGGTTCAAACCCACCAGCCACTCATTGGAAACCCTACACAGGGTTGCTGTAAGTCAGAACTGACTCTCGCCAGCACTAACATTTTAGCTTCTTTACAGAAGCTAAAATGGTGGGCATTCAGCTTGCTACTTTGGGCATGTTATCTGGGTGTGGCGCTATACTATAAGCATTGGACTGCTAACCGCAAGGTCGTCAGTTCAAACCCACCCAAAACCCAATACAGGGTCACTATGCGTCAGAACCAACTTTATGGCACTTAACAACAAAAGCAACAATCAGGAAGGGCCAGTCCCTGAAGAAGGACAACATGCTTGGTAAGGGGAGGTTGAGAGAAAAAGAGGAAGACCCCCCTAGTGAGATGGACTGACTGACACAGTGGCTGCAGCAACAGACTCAAACACAGCAAACACAGTGAGGGTGGCGCAGGACCAGGCAATGTCTCATTCTATTATACATCGGGTCGCTGTGAGTCAGGACCAGGCAACGTCTAGTTCTGTTATACATCGGGTCGCTGTGAGTCAGGACCAGGCAACTTCTCGTTCTGTTATACTTCAGGTCGCTGTGAGTCAGGACCAGGCAATGTCTCATTCTGTTATACATCGGGTCACTGTGAGTCAGAGTCAACTGGATGGCACCTAACAACAACAACAATCTTTGCAGAAGTGAATTGTCAGGCTTTTCTTACTTAGCACCACTGAGTGGGTTTGAACCACCAAACTTTAGGCTAGTAGTTGAAAACGTAATCACTCAGGGTGATCTTCCACACACAGTAAAAACAGAGTTCACTTTCAACCACCAATAAGGTAATGTCCATGTTACTTCATGCACGGCACCCCCATTCCTAAAGTGAAAGGCTCAGTCATTTGCTATCTGTCACCTAAACTGAGAGCCAGGTGTACTGGTCCTCTAAGTTCTCACAGTGGGCCCAGAACAGTACCCACACCAGCAGCAGCTGCTGCCCCTGACGTTTGTCCAGCAGGTAGGACTAAACAAACCTCCGGGTGACTCTGACCCCAAAGGGTACCCTCCCCACAACCAAAAGCCTCCAGATTCCACCCCCTATATTTGTACCCTTTTCAAAGAAAGGTGAGGTAATGGAATGTAAATATCACTGAACAATTATCATTAATATCACATGCAAGTAAAATTGTGATGTTGTTGTTGTAAAGTGCCATCGAGTC